TTGAGATTGTCTGTGATCTGCTAAAGCTGGTCCAGGTGGACACACTTGGGTCAAAAACAGATGGTAACAGGTCTTAACTAGTTTAGCACAAGATAGCAAGTGGCGGTGTGATTGTTTTCGCTTCGGATAGTGTGCCGGAGACTTTTTATTAAGCAGCCTTCCAGTCAAGGCCAAGATCAAAGATCGGACGGTTTCCAGAGCACGTCCCATCATGCCCTAGGACCTTCTAGCATGACTTAAGCATCTGTTTCAGGCACTCCTCCTCTTGAAGATGTTGTAAAGGCTCGTTTTGAGAGAAAATGAAAATGTCAGTCAGAGTAGAGTGAATCAGGAAGAGGAGAGCATGTGGACATCTTTCTGTTTGTAATGAATTTCTTTATCAGATATCTCAGTGACAGTAGGCAGGCTTGTAGATAACAGGTGATATTTGTGGCTTTAAAGAAATATTGAATAAAGTGGTGTAAATAAACCTGATGTGACTTACTTGACTGAGCTGGTGCAAACATGTACACATCGCTATTATGATCAGATGCTTTCTTAACTGTTTTCTCACCGCTGTCATTTCTGCGATGTTTATTTTGTGATTGAGAGGAAAGTGCGCAGACCATATTTACATACTTTGGGATGTTCGTTAACAGTATATCGCTGCAAAGGCATTTCAAAATACTTTTTAACCCTAAGCAAAGAACAAAAAAGCACTTCGCTGTGAGTATATAACAAAATTAATCTTTGCTAAGTAACTCGGTTTCTCCATACTCCCTCTGTTTCAGCTCTTCTCATTCTTAACTTTGATGCTGTACATTCATGTAACTCCATAACCTTAGACCTATTGCTTAGTTATTTCACATATTCTCGAACAAGCAGAAGTAACACAAAGAGCATTATGGGTTGAGCGAGCGAGCGGACTGAGAAATTCTTCAGAAACGCGCTCTCCGTTTTGGAGGAAATATTACTGCTCCGCTTACATGCTTTGGTATCAAGTTGGTTTTTCATTTGCATTTTTGTGATTCCTTCCAAAAATGCACTAAGCAACATTGATTTACATTGATAATAATAAGAAATGTTTCTTGAGCATCAAATCAGCATATTAGAATGATTTCTGAAGGATCATGTGACACTGAAGACTGGAGTAATGATGCTGAAATTTCCTTCTGTTGTGGGTCGGTATGATTTTTAAACAAAATGTTTAATATTATTACAATTTCAAATAACTGTTTTCCATTTTATCATATTGTAAACTGTAATTTATTCCTGGGATCAAAGCTGTATTTTCAGCATCATTACTCCAGTCTTCAGTGTCACATGATCCTTCAGAAATCATTCTAATATGATGATTTGATGCTCAGGAAACATTTCTTCTTATTATTTTCAATGTTAAAAAACGGTTGTGCTACTTCATATTATTGTGACAACAGTGCTAAAAAAAAAAATTCAGGTTTTTTGATGAATAGAGAAGTTCAAAAGAAAAGCATTTAATTGAAATAGAATCGTTTGTCTTTACTGTCACTTTTGATAAATATAATGCTACCTTTCTAAATATTAATTTCTTTCAAAAGAAGACCTGTAAATATCCCAACACTTTTGAACAGTATTGTATCTCTTTGCATGTGCCACTCAACAGGGCTGTAGACTTTGAGTGGGACTTTAAGTGTTTCTATAAATTCATAAGTGGTCAACCAATATGGGATTTTACTGATTTATTCTTAAATTATTCCACCCAATCCTTAAAATGTGGTTTCATCCTCACCACAGAGCACAAGTTCTTGACTTTTGTTGCCAAGTTGAAATCTTTTGGCCGCAGTGGGACACACCTGGAGTCTTGTGGTGCCGAAAGTCTCTTTGCTCTCTGCCTGTCTTTCACTGCTTGCACTCCTCTCTCTGAAAGACACTTTCACAAGGAGGCCTTGTTCAACAGCTTGACGGTGAGAGACTCCATGCGGAGGGACACAATGCCCTGCCCTCATCTGGCACCTCTTAAGGCCGGTTTCAAGATCAGTTCATGTGGCCTGAACCCTGTTTGAGCCTTTTATACAGGCAAGTGAACCGCTGACTCCAGAACTGAGGTTTGTTTTATGGGATTGTGACTTTTGGATCTCTGTAGACGTGTTCACATGACTTCAGCAAAGCCGTAACCTGCATAAATTATTATTTTTTTCTCTTGGTTAGTCACCTTCGAACTGTTTATTTACAGTATGACTTTACTTGTACAATTTTTCCTACACCAAATGTGTTGATCAGTGCTGTTTGTCAAGTAAAGCATCACATTTGCTGTTGCTCATACTTGTGGTTAATGATTTGAACACGGGGCTGTAACTCATCCTGCACCATTTGTGCTACTTGTTAACATGGGATAGGAGAGAATATTTTAAAAGTAACAAAATATACACTTCCCCTTATAAAAAGCATATTTTTCTAGACCCCAAAAGCATTTTCACAGTCTAAAATTTCCAAACGGAGGATATATTGATGTGGAAACGGCTTAAGAGTGGGGTTTATTTCATACCTGCGGTTGTTCTGAGACTGTTCAGCCAATAACTTTCCACTGCGTTGTGGAAATCTGTCTTGTGATTTGGGCTGGAAAAAAATGGAGATGAGAGATTTGAATTCCCCTCATGAAATTTGAAGAGCTTGACATGTTTGCTTGAACCAGACAGAATGTAGCCGACAAACCTGTTACCTTTATGAAACAGATCCTTATGTGTTCCTCCAATTTTTTTTGTTGCATTCTCTTAGATAAATGTGTGCAGAAACATAAAACCAACCAAAACACGTTTGCATGCTTTTTGCCATTGTGCATGCCTTCTTAAAATAGCCTCCCCCTCCATATTTAGCTTTAATTAACTTAAAGTAATAAGCTGGTATTAGTGGCTTTGAATGGTCGACGTGGGAGACGGGCTGGGGAGATTTTGCTGCTCTCAGGTGCTCAATCATACAAGTGGATGTTTGCCAGCGCTGTATTAAACCAAGCTCTGCTTTCATTTCCAGGCACTTTGCGAGGAAACTCCTCCACAATACTGAAGAGAAATATTGAATGGAGTGGAGAGTTGATTATTGTAAGCCACGGGGTGTGTTTGCTTTCTGGGTCACTGGCGGGTGATGTTCGAGACAACAAGGAAATTTCATGATGCTTGTCTGTACTTTCAGACGAAACGTTTTGAATCTCGGCAAGGGTTTTTACTAAAAATTGAAAACAGACATTAGTATTGCTCATGCAGCTCTTAGTATTGTTGCATTATGCCATGTAACTCTTCATGCACTCACATATGCATTTAAAAAAAACATGAAAACCAAGCTCTAAAATGACAAAAAAAAAGCACTTAATTATAGTCAACAACTCTTCTTGTGTGAAGAATACACCCAAATTTATGACACAGGAAATGAATCCTTATACAATGTTCAGGTAATGCAGAAATAGCTATTCTGTACTGTCATGTCAATCAATGTGTCATGCAAAGAAAAGGGATTCATTCAAACTACAGTCTCACATAGCCAGATCTATATATTCTATAAATAGACTTTATCAAACTATCATAACAGTGTATTTTAATGACCTCATCTCTCGACATGATGCCGGTGAATTCCAGAGCTGGTGCAAACATCCACATCGCTACCATTTGCTTTCTTTGCTGCTGTTTTCTCACCGCTGACGTTTTTGTTGTTGTTTTTTTGTTATTGAGAGGAAAGCGTGCCGCACATATTTGCATATTAATCTAAACGTTGCTCTCAGCAGCGTGGACGGCGTCTGGGTGTTCGTTAAGAGTATATCAATGAACGTAAAAAACTTTGCCGTGAGTATATCGGGGCCTTAAAGCTGCTGTAGGTAACTTTTGAAAAAATGTATTTGCTAAAAATGTCATTATGTCCTGACAGTAGAATATGAGACAGATAATCTGTGTAAAAATCAAGCTCCTCTGGCTCCTCCCAGTGGTCCTATTGCCATTTGCAAGAAATACACGCTCCCGGTCAGAAACAACCAATCAGAGCCGAGAGGAGTGTCTTAGCAGTGTCAATCACGCTCGTGTACGCGCTGATCACACCCCTCTCTTGCACAGCGCGAGCCGTCATTCAAACTCAAGATTGCCGGCGAGCTGCAGCTGTGCTTATGAAGGAGAAACAACCTAAACTGCCAATTCTCGAGTGACACCTGCTCATAAAACAAAGAGGTAAAAGAAAAAATACCGATGACGATAAACAAGCGAAAAAGAAAGAATTACACAGAGCCCATTGACTCGGTGTCAAAACTCTAGCCGCATAACATGTAGATAAAATGTCACGCACTCTGCTAAGCAACAATTGAAACCTGCTAATTCACTGGCTTGTCATGTTGCTGAAATAATGTACTAGCACACCTTATCTAGCATTATATATCGCTAGAATAATTACTTACATACTGTAACGTTAGTTACCGTTATATTAACGTTATCTTACTAGCTATTTATAACTTATAGAAAAAGTGCAACGTTATAAAGTTACATGTAGGCTATTGGAAAATACATAATGATTTGAGGACCAAGTTTGTAGTCAAAGTATGGGCAGGCCATAGTCAATGTAAAGCATATTATTGACGTTTAGTCCCTATTAGTGAATGTGCCATATCACTTTTTATCCGCCGTCATCGGTGGGCCTGTTTACTAGCCTGCGCGTTCACGACAGGCTCCGCTGTGGAGGACGAGCTGTGGAGGGAGGGCTGTAGCGCAGCAGAGAGCAAGGGGGTGGGACCTGTAAGTTGTGCTTGTTCAAATTTTCAAGCTAAGTCAACGTTTTCTCAACTCCCTACTGCAGCTTTAAATCACATTCAGTTTCTTGTACGAGTGTGAGCACGAGCAGTAAGTTGTTGACTGCAGTTCAATTAACGGCCACCGGTGTCGCTAATAACAAGGGTCTCTGAATTCTACATATAGTCCCTTTAAATGACAATGTGATATGTGTTGTAATGAATTAACTGTGTAAAGAACAAAACATGCTCAGGACTGACTTCCGTGTGTGTCTCTGTGTTTCAGGTGGGGTATGTGTGATGGTATGTGAGAGTTTACCATGGTACAGAAGAAACTCTGGCTTCTGAATGTCACCGTCGCGGCCGCCCTCTTTTTACTGTGTAAGTACATCTGCCGCTCAGTCCAAAATCACAGTATTTGGACACTTTATTCACTTAAATGTGTAAATGTCATTGCATTAGAACAAGCGTCTGTTTGTGCATGTCTCAAATGCTGCATCTCTTCACTAATCAACATGTTTAATCAACATGCTTTGACATTTGAAGAGTTAAAGAATGTCTTTATAATAAATTACACTTGCTTTAATATTTTATGGAACCCAATGACATTCCACATTTTTTTAATGTATATCACAACTGTTTAGGTCCTAAAAAGTTACGTTGTATTTACTTTAGCCAATTATTCTAGCGAGTGTTAAATTTACAGTCGCTGCTCCACTGTAAATGAATGCTGTTCTTTTGCCTCTTTCATCATTGAGTTTTTTTCAAGCTTTCTCCATCCTCACTCTATCATTCACACCGTCTGTTATCCGTCCATTTGTGTCTGTTTTCTCTCTCTTCATGATTCTTCTTCTGGTGTAGACATGGCCTGAATATCACAGCACACCAGAGGTTTAGTTCAGCCTGTTTACTCTCAGAACACGTTTGGTGGAGGGGTTAATTCCCCTTCGTTAACGAACAGGCGACCCTCTATGTTCCTTATGGCACAAAACCTGTCCCGGGGCCAGCGAGAGCGCTTGTGGTGTTTGAGCTGGTATTTAGGAGCAAACACCCCAAACATTCGGGGGGGAAGATGGATCAAATCCTCTCTGTAAAAAAATGAAATCTGCAAATCCGGATTTAGATCAATCTGGGATTTAGATTTCCCTTCTCTAAAAGCACGGGGTGTGTGAGTCTCAGGGGTGGCTGGCCATGTGTGCGCCCCAGGGGCTCTCGGGACAGAGGCAGGGTGGGGAGGTTGTGGTTCTTTCAGAGAGCGTCATCTTTGAGAGATTACTGCTAATCGCAGGCGAGACGAGATGCATGGAGCACTCTGGGACAAGGGAGGGTGACCGGGGTGCAAAACTGCCCAAATGCATTTGCGTCTTGTGAATTTGAGGATCTACATACTGACATCTCTCACAGTCTAGCATGTAAATGGGGGAATCTCACAAAAATGTCCAGGCCACATTTCACCCTATAAGGAAGTGAAATAGGACCTTTTTCTTTTCTTTTTTTTGCATTGAGACAATTTCCCCTCCAAACTATGGATAATGCAAAAAGATTCTGTTTTTTTTTAAAAATCACAAAGAAAAATGTAAAGAATGCTAAACTATTTATATACTATGTGTTGTATTTGTAAAGTACAGTCGTAATAATACATTATGGTAGCATTTGTTGTACTTCAGTTTAATGTACAGGATGGTTTTCAGTATTGTAATGAGAATGAGATTTTGGCGGTAGATTCTTATCAAAAACCTATTTTAAAATGATTATTTATGTAGTAATATAAAGCATGTATTATAGTATTGTTATTATCATCGATTTTATTTAGATGTTTTATCTACATATATGAAAAAATAATGTAATCAACCTTGATTTATTTATTTTTTTCTCCTGTGAGTTTCACCCTAATGAGGCTGTCTTTGTCTGTCCCATTGGGAGAAAGTGTCACAGACGTTCTTCATATTAACATGCTGTATGTTAATTTACATGCATGTCATCTCCCCTGCACCCACCCCCCTTAATCTGGATTTGCATTCGCCCCGCTTTAGTGTGTGTTTCTGTGACATCACCCTCCTGCTTCTCTTTTGTGTCTTGTTTTTCTCAGTCACGCTCTCATTTTCCATCTCACATTCTCCTTTTGGCTCTTGTTTCTGTCTGTGTCCTGTCTATTGCTTTCTCCAGGACATCAGAACTGCTGGTTTTATCATTGAGTACATACTGTAAATGCAGTACTTACCTCCAATGACAAATATTGGAGTTTTCCACCCTTGGGGTTTGATCTATGTGCTTTGAGCACAACCAGAAAACACATGGCAGGCGGCAATTGTAATGTGTTTGTTGTTTGTTCCTTGTGGTGTGTTGTTTCCACTTAAGAAGAACTAAATTAATTTATCCTAAAAAGCATTGGAAGGGTGGGTAACATGTTTAATTGTGTTTCTTCCTTACTCTTAAAAATAAGTTCCTTGTTTGAGCTGAATCCACTTATCTCCCTGCTGAATAGACAGATATAATGGTCAACACAACCAGCTAAGCTTTGCTGACTAATAATCTCAGCACACCTATACTCTTCACCATCTTGACCAGCCCAAAACGAGCACTAACCAGCATAAATCCATCTGGACCAGGTCTAAAACAGTATAAACCAGTTTGGACCAGCTCAAACCTACCGCTAACCAGCATAAGGATTCTAGACCAGCGTTAACCAGTGGAAATCCATCTGGACCAACTCTCAACCAAAATAAATCCATGTGGACTAGCTCAAGCACATTGTTTACCAGCATAAATCAGTCTAGACCAGCACTAGCCAGCTAAAATCAATCTGGACCAGCTCTAAACCATAGCTAACCTGCATAACTCAGTCTAGACCAGTGCTAAGCAGCAGAAATCCATCTGGACCAGCTCCTAACCAGAATAAATCAGTCTGGACCAGCTCTAAACCACAGCTAACCTGCTTAACTCAGTCTAGACCAGTGCTAAGCAGCAGAAATCCATCTGGACCAGCTCCTAACCAGAATAAATCAGTCTGTACCAGCTCAAAACCAATGCTAACCAGCATAAATCAGTCTTCAAGTTCAAGTTCAAGAAGTCTTTATTAACCCCGAGGGGTAATTTGTTGTGCAGCAGCATGTGACATAAATAACACACATGTTATACAAAACAACAGCCATACAAACAGTAAAAAGAAACACCTAGATAAATACATACTACACAGGAATCTACAACTCACATTGACTTATTACAAAAACCTATAGCAGAAGGGACAAAATAATTTTTATGTCTATTTGTCTTGCATTTAGGTAAACTGAATCTGCGGCCCGACGGCAATAAAATGAAACTACTGTTCAAGGGGTGACTACGGTCGGCCAGTACTAATTGTGCCTTCTTAAGGGTCCTTGTCTCATATATCGAGTTTAGATCGGTCAAATGGTTGTTGAAAATTTTGCCACACACTTTAACTAAATATTGCAGCCTATTTCTGTTTTTAAGCGTTAGGGACCCAAACCAACTCACAAGGGCAAAGGAAAGAATAGATTCAATAAAGCAACAATAAAACATCCTCATAAAAGTCTTATCGACATTAAAATTGCGAAGTTTACGATAAAAAAACATGCGTTGATGTGATTTCTTACAGACAGCGTCAACTTGTGGCTCAAAAGTGAGTTTGTCATCAATAATAATGCCAAGGTATTTGTATTGCTTCACCACTTCTATAGCTTGGTCGTTAATTAGAGTAGAAGAGAGGGCGTGGGGGTTCGTACTAAAATCGATCAGCATTTCTTTAGTTTTTGTCTCATTAATTTTAATAAAAGACGAATTACACCATTCTGTAAAATCATTTAAAATAGCGCCATGCTCAAGGTCATTATGGTCATTATGCGTCAACAATGACACTATTACCGAGTCATCGGCAAATTTAATGATATGACGCCCGGTATGCTGGCTTTGCTGGCTTTGCCCGGTATCTAGACCAGCACTGACCAGCAAAAATCCGACCAGCTCAAAACCACAGCTAACCTGCATAACTCAGTCTAGACCAGTGCTTACCAGCATAAATCCATCTGGACCAGGTCTAAAACAGTATAAACCAGTTTGGACCAGCTCAAATCTACCGCTAACCAGCATAAGGATTCTAGACCAGCGTTAACCAGTGGAAATCCATATGGACCAACTCTAAACCAAAATAAATCCATGTGGACTAGCTCAAGCACATTGTTTACCAGCATAAATCAGTCTAGACCAGCACTAGCCAGCTAAAATCAATCTGGACCAGCTCTAAACCACAGCTAACCTGCATAACTCAGTCTAGACCAGTGCTAACCAGCAGAAATCCATCTGGACCAGCTCCTAACCAGAATAAATCAGTCTGTACCAGCTCAAAACCACAGCTAACCTGCTTAACTCAGTCTAGACCAGTGCTAACCAGCAGAAATCCATCTGGACCAGCTCTAAACCACAGCTAACCAGCACAACTCAGTTTAGGCCAGCTTCTAAATAGAATAAATTTGCCTGGACCAGCTCAAAACCACTGCTAGCCAGCATAACTCAGTCTAGACCAGTGCTAAGCAGCAGAAATCCATCTGGACCAGCTCCTAACCAGAATAAATCAGTCTGGACCAACTCTAAACCACAGCTAACCTGCTTAACTCAGTCTAGACCAGTGCTAAGCAGCAGAAATCCATCTGGACCAGCTCCTAACCAGAATAAATCAGTCTGGACCAGCTCTAAACCACAGCTAACCTGCATAACTCAGTCTAGACCAGTGCTAAGCAGCAGAAATCCATCTGGACCAGCTCCTAACCAGAATAAATCAGTCTGTACCAGCTCAAAACCAATGCTAACCAGCATAAATCAGTCTAGACCAGCACTGACCAGCAAAAATCCGACCAGCTCAAAACCACAGCTAACCTGCATAACTCAGTCTAGACCAGTGCTTACCAGCATAAATCCATCTGGACCAGGTCTAAAACAGTATAAACCAGTTTGGACCAGCTCAAATCTACCGCTAACCAGCATAAGGATTCTAGACCAGCGTTAACCAGTGGAAATCCATATGGACCAACTCTAAACCAAAATAAATCCATGTGGACTAGCTCAAGCACATTGTTTACCAGCATAAATCAGTCTAGACAAGCACTAGCCAGCTAAAATCAATCTGGACCAGCTCTAAACCACAGCTAACCTGCATAACTCAGTCTAGACCAGTGCTAACCAGCAGAAATCCATCTGGACCAGCTCCTAACCAGAATAAATCAGTCTGTACCAGCTCTAAACCACAGCTAACCAGCATAAATCAGTCTAGACCAGCACTGACTAGCAAAAATCCATCTGGACCAGCTCTAAACCACAGCTAACCAGCACAACTCAGTTTAGGCCAGCTTCTAAATAGAATAAATTTGCCTGGACCAGCTCAAAACCACTGCTAGCCAGCATAAATCAGTCTAGACCAGTGCTAACCTGCATACATCCACCTGGACCAGCTCTAAACCAACATCAGTCTGGAGCAGCACAAAATCCCAATTAACCAGCATAAATAATCTAGACCTGCCCTAACCAGCCTAAATGGTTTGAAATGGCACTAAACCAGTACAAATCAGTTGGACTATCAGGGAATATTTGAGTTCTGCAGAATGAGTTGACGTGTGTATGGTTGTGTTCCACAGGTCCTTCTCTGAGCGCTGAATCGGTGGTCCGGGGAAGGGTCGGGGGTTTTGCTGAGCTGGACTGCAGTCTGACTCCTCCATCAGAAGGGGCCACCACTCCAAATCTCTTTCCCTTACATGTGGTGGAGTGGGTCCGGCTGGGATACAACGTCCCCATCCTCATCAAATTCGGCGGCTACACCCCACGAGTGCATCCGAACTACAAAGGTGAGTGTCACCTTAAACATTAATCAGTTTTCCATTAACCCTGCAGGAGAGCGACTGGAAGTGATGCTGCCGCTACACTTTTATGAGTTTGGATTTTATGTGCTTTGTCTCTGAAGCTCACTGTGATTATGATTTCATTATATTAATGTCAAATAGGGCTGCACGATTTGGAGGAAAAAAAGCCAATTGCGATTTTTCTAATAAAAAATGCTCAATTAAAATGAAATAAAAAAGCTTCAGGTTTGCTGTGCTTGTTTGTAGGGCTGCACAACACAAAGTTGTTGTTTTTTTGCCAAAAATGTATTAGTAGTATTTTTTTATATATTAATATTAATAAGAAAATGTTTGGTGATTTATAGATCAATATATGACTATATACTACTACTAATAATAATAGTAGTAATAATAATAATAATACAGATTATTATTATTGGTTATAGTGTTAGTATTATGATTGTTATTTTTGTTTGATTATTATTATTACTAAATGAAAGTATTAAACAAAATAAGAAATAGCAATATTTCTTTTAGAATAAACAAATCGAGCATTTAAGGAAATTACAAAAAGAAACATGATCTGGTTTGGAATGAAAAATTGATAACAGAATTTTTATATTTGTGTGAATTTTATATGTTTAGGCACCTACTCAAAAAGCCTAATTTTTCTGGAAACTTCTCAGATACCAGCTGGATTTTAGAGGCTTGTCGCTGGGTTACTGAAAGCTGTTATTGCTATTGTTAAGAGAGACTATTGGGTTCTTTAGACGTAGTTCTCTGTTTTACGAGCACTTGTTTAGACTCTGGGGGCCACATCCACAGGCTTTATCCACTCAATAGCCCACGATAGTTCCTGTTGTTGTTTCTCCAAAAGGTTCTGACACAAGGCCTGCAAAAGGCTGATTTCCTGGGCAATTCACCAAGAGCTCCCTTGAAACAACTTTCAAGGCTGTTTGGGTGCTTTACTCGTTCCCGGAGAGGTGCTTGGCGGTGTAAACGCAGCCGTTTGCCCCAGTGCACGTGAAGGAGGGGTCGTGCTCTGGAATTTATTGAAGGGGGAGGGGCATTGTGTTGTTAAACGAATATCCACATATAAATTACCCACCCAAACAAGTGCTCTGTAATTATGTAGAGTGTGTGTCTGTGTTTGGTGCAGATGCTGGAGGGAGAAAAGGGAAGGAGGGGGTGCTCAGACGTTACGGCCCGTGGGGGTTGTGGGTATTGAGCGGGACCCGGGATTAAGAACATTGGGGTTAAACTGCAGCGGGCTGGTTAGGGGCCGCGTGTCTCCTCTCGGATCCGATGGGTTTGACCCAGTAAGAGAGAAAATTGTTTTTCACCAGGACTGATTTAAGAAGAGAATAAAAGGTGTGGGAATATTGGATTTACACAGGCATGACCCTGATAGTACCACCATAGTGCGTTTTCCAAGAACATTGACATCATTTCTGGTTTTCACTTGAATTGGTTTTGATTGAAGATCAAATGTAAATTTCCATGTTTTCCCAGTGGGGTCTGCTGTGATTGTCAGGAGGAGCATGTGGTTCTCAGATGAGCCCCTCTGTGTCTCGATCTGATGCTCTCGTGTCTGTCCGTACACTAGAGGAAACTAATGCAAAATCAATGCAATGTTCTGTGGTGTTTAGATAGTGAGTCATGGGTTAAAGAGAGAATGGGGAAAAAGCAGTTTACCTCTTGATAAAACAAATATTGACCAAACATAGTCAATAATGAGTAAGGACCATCAAAGAAAGGAAGAAATCCCCGCTTCTTTTCCCTTTCTCTAAGCTGGATCTGTTTAATTTCACCCCTATGTCAGAGTACGCTGGCAACAGATGAAGCACATCACGGCTTTGAATCTGATGCATTTCCACTCTCAAATTAAAAGGATGCAAGTTTCCCAAACCGCGTCTCACCACGGATGACAAGTTGAAACCTGATCTGCTCACATCTTTAAATATAATTCTGCTACAAACTGGTTGAAAAGTGTCATGGTTTTATCAGAATTTTTTAGAACATGTTTAGGTGTGCACACATTACATGAAAGTGTAGTTTTGCTCCAAGTTTCTTTCTAACTCCAAAATTGAATTGTATGAGCCATGCACATCAGTTGAATTTAGTGTCAACTTATATCACATTACTACGTTTAAGGTATGCCATGTCACATCTTTTATTAAAGGATTAGTTCACTTTTAAAAAAACTTTTGCTGATAATTTACTCACCCCCATGTCATCCAAGATGTCCATGTCTTTCTTTCTTCAGTCGAAAAGAAATTAAGGTTTTTGATGAAAACATTCCAGGATTTTTCTCCATATAATGCACTTTGCTGGGCACCAAACAGTTCAAGGTCCAAAAGACAGTTTCAGTGCAAACTGTTCAAAGGGCTTTAAACGATTCCAGACGATGAATAAGAGTCTTATCAAGCGAAACGATCGGTCATTTCAAAAATAAATAACAAAGTTTAAGTTTAATAATGTCAAATGCTCGCCTTGCTCTGTTCTGTGATGCACGTTCGTGAATCTCCTGTTCGAACTCGTTCATCAAAATGAACAAATCTTTTTTCGAGTCATTTGGTTCATTTAACGAACGAAATGAATGAATTGACTCGGAAAAAGATTTGTTCATTTTGATTAACGAGTTCGAACAGGAGAGTCACACAGAACAGAGCAAGGCGAGCATTTGAGCTTATAAAACTTAAACTTTGTTATTTCTTTTTTAAATGAGCGATCGTTTCGCTTGATAAGACCCTTATTCATCGTCTGGTGTCGTTTAAAGCCATTTGAACAGTTTGCAGTTTGCACTGAAACTGTCTTTTGGACCTTGAACCGTTTGGTGCCCAGCAAAGTGCATTATATGGAGAAAAATCCTGGAATGTTTTCATCAAAAACCTTAATTTCTTTTCGACTGAAGAAAGAAAGACATGGATGACATGGGGGTGAGTAAATTATCAGCAAAAGTTTTTTTAAAAGTGAACTAATCCTTTAAGTGCATAAATTACTAATGCACTTTTTGGCTTGAACCCTTTAGTGCATGAGTCTGGTACATCTTAGGGCGTTTTCACACTTGAAAGTCCGCACCAAGGTCCGAACCAAAGTTCACGTTTTGATACATTTTATACTTTCAGAAAGTTTTGGTTTGGTTTGACGCTGCAATTATGCGAGCGCACTAAAGAACTTTACGTGACACACTTGCGTCCTGTCGTCATCATCTATGTGGGCTGCATCTTGACATTGATTGGTTTTGTAAATGGACGTGCGTCTGACATCAGCGTGTTGTCAAATCGGAGGGTAACTTTGACGACATGAATGAACAGACGCACATCGTTGCTATATTGTTATTTTATGGCATGATTACCTGCAGCACCAACTATACACAAGGCTAGTTCAAATTCGTCAAATGAACGTCCTCATCGTGCGAACATTTTATCGTCGCCGGCAGGAAAGGAGGAGAAGACTGCAAGTTGGCTTCTTATGTCATCAGACCATACTTCTATTAAAAACCTCGTCTCCTCCTCTCCCCATGTGCTACCACGGCTCATTTTTCCTGCCACCTTCTGTTTTATCGGCTATGTGGGAACCACCGGAACTTCCTGTAAAAGGTCTTAAAGTCCGAACCATACAGAAATGCTTTCACACTAGAAACGAACCAAACCTTTATTCAGTTTGATCCGGACCGAGACTACCTCTTTTCGTCGGACCAAATTTCATCTGTTTGGTGCGGACCATGGTCCGGGGGAGGTTTCACACCTGTAATTTTGATTCGGACCAAACTGAAAAGTCCGAAAGTCCGGACCAAACAAGGTAGGTGTGAAAGGGCCCTTAGATGTTAATTATCTGTTAATTTAGACCACTTTTTAACTTTTTATTTGTACTCTAGTCAGTGTTTATGTTCATTGCATCTCTTGTGCACTTCCTCCAAATCCAAGCGTTTTGAGTTCATCATGCATCAGAGAAAGGGCCACATTGAAGTGTCCAATCAGTGGATAAAATATTTGCTGAATTTCAAATTAGCAAGAGAGCTAATTGCATTCTTGGGCGGTTCGACCACTTTGATCAGGTCTCGGTTTGGGTCAGAGAGGCTGGGACGGCAGCAGGCTGACAGCTGTGGCACATTGCCCACGAAACCCTCATGAAGGAAGGAGAACCATCCTCGTTTTATTTTAGGTCTTTCCACATCTCCGTTCACTTTAGTCAAGGCTCGTGAGAAGCATCTGTCAATGTTTCCATGACAAGTTGTGTAACAAACTTGCTCGTAAAAATACCAGAACAACTCATGCAGATCGGCTTAATGGGTGTTTAAGTAGAATGGTTTTCCCATCTATAATTATTACACAGACATGAATGGTGTTCTGTGTAGTTTTTAGGTACACTGCTATGTGGTTGCAAGGTTGGTTTCTGATGAAGTCAAAACCGCCATCAAATTTTCTAGCCTGGTTCTACCAGACTCTCGTACATTTCATTTGTACAGAGAGTCTGGCACCGCTCCATTGACAATCGTTAACTTCCTTGTAGGCGGGGACTCTATTGAAGTTTAAAACTATTGGATCTGCCCAGAGTCACTCTGGATCTGCCACCAATCGCTAACTTTTGCTTTGCTCGTGATGTATGTCGAACCCTGTGGGGAGGAGGGCCACAACATCATCGCCAAAACAAAACTAACCAAAGATTGTTCTTGCTCCGGCTTTAACTTCTTGATATTCGGCAGCGTTGCTACAACGGACCGAATGGCTTTGCTCGCATCTTTCTCCGCTGCCATTACTGAACTACAACTCAAAATAACGCACAACGTCATCGTTCTCAGCCACTCCCTCTGTTCGCTGATTGGCCCTACAAAAAATTGATCGGAGAAAACCAAAGTCTACAGCAGAATCCCAGATGTAGTACTGAAGGAAAATTAAATTGAGTGGAAGTGCGTAGGAGGGCGCAGCCATACTACAAATTTTCACCTTGAGTCAATAAATGTAATACTGTGTCCTAACCAGATGCGTTGTGTTGAAACGACA